AAATACCTTAAACAGTAGTTAGCCCTTAAATATACCAAGCAAGAATGGTGTGGTGAAAGTTGGCAATTACGAAATAAATGTAATATAATTGAGAAGGACATGTGATTTAATCAAAGCCGTGGAAAGCACTTTTTAACTGACCTCGTGGTAGTTTTCTATCATATGATGCATCTGCTCTACCTCTTCCGAACTAATTGTTTTAACCACAAATTGTCTATTTTGAGTCACCAGAAATTTTGAACCAGATTTTCCGCGCATAGAATCCCAGAGAGGCTGACAACGAGTAAATGCATCCTAAAAAGTAACAAACAAGATGGGCAATATTAAGAATTGTCACAGCTAGCGAGAATAAGGAGCAATAGGATGAAGATTAATTTTAATTATAAACTTTAAGAACATCAAAGGATAACTAGCTATATTCAGCATACCCAATAATCAGTTTTATCAACGAAGAAACGGTCGCGGAGGTTTTTAAATACCAACGGACAATACTCCTTGAATTTGAACCTGCCAGGCATATTCTCTCTAAAATGCTAGAAATTAAAGTATATTACTTATTAAATAAATGATGGTTGACTTTGACTTTGAAATAGGATTTAAAGTCATCTTTTAGGAGCATCGCACGTGGTTTGACATGGTCGAGAGTGGAATATGAATAATTAATACCCCACATTAGAACACTCTTTAAGGGCTCGTTGGCTCGGAACAATTTCATTTTTTGTTTAACATTCTTGACTTTTTTTTGCTTGGAGTGCATGGCCATATTTTAAGATAAAGACAGACAAGAGAGAGTCATAGATAGAACGAGGGAAATTCCAGTGAGCTGGGAGCGCGAACTCCCAAGTTGGATAATTGATATGGACAAGCAAAACCAGTTAATATTCTATCATTAAAACTCATATAATTTTTTATCAAATTCAGTTATTAAATAATTTTTTAAATGTAAATAAGATAAAATATAACCTTTTACATATTAGGTGAATCAACTACCGTTTTAATAGCTAGAGCAGGACTTTTAAGAGATAACAGAAAATAAGTTATTTTACCATGTTTTCGTAAATTGGTCATATTAGTAGAAAGACTAAGAGGAACGCACCTAGTTCGGAGTCTATTGTATACATGATAATTTCCAAAGTTGGACGATGGACGTGGTGCATTCTAAGTCGTTTCGCTTGCATCGTAATCGGCATCGTCTGTGAGTCTTGCCATTCTTAGTACCAGACTACAACTCCTAAAATAGAAGAGTAAAGCTGATCCTTTGGCTAAATTTGTGCTAAACAGTTGCGGTATCTCTCATTCTTTCCGGGGCTATTGACCTCTCATATATATTCGTAACACGCCTTTACTATCACAATTTTTCTTTCATATTTAAATCTAATGCGGTAGGCCCTTTTTACCGGCTTTCATAAAAATTCACTACACTCCACGCTAGCATTTTCATCCTTCTTCACCCTTGTGCTGGGAATTTTGATCAGAGTCTGCCAAATTGTTACACAGTCCTCCTTCTCTAGGTTTTATCATTGTCTCACCTCTTGCCTCGTAGGATCCTACTGCTATCCCACTGGTTCAAGTATTTACACAACCCCTGCCACTCCATCTGTGCTACTTAAGGCTTTATTATCCATTGCATGAGTTTGGGTGACTAATTCCTTGCTAAACCTTTGAGTAAGTCTCATGGTCAAGCATTTCCTACATAGACCATGTTTATAGTAGAACAGACCTACTATCAGCCAACTAGCTCTAGTATTCGCCGCATCTATCCTCTTTCTATCCGTAATACCAAGTTTATGACTTGCTATTTCATAGTCTCCTGTGTGCCAACCCACAAATGTTGCTGTACTGCTTGCTTTTATTGGGTTTAATGTTAAACCACGAAGTTTGTGGGTTGGCACAACAAATTATGGCGTAGTAAGTCATAGGCTTGGTATTACAGATATAAACAGAATAGATGCGGTGGAGGCTAGACCTAGTTGACTTAAAATAGACGTGCTTCATGGATCACGTCTATGATTAAATTTCAGGTCTATGACTTGCTATGCCCTAGTCTCTTATGTGCCAACCAACAAACTTTGTGGTACAACATTAAATCTAATCAAAGTAAGCAGTACCACAACATTTGTTGGTTGGTACATAAGAGACTAGGGTATAGAAAGTCATAGACATGGTATTACGGATAAAAACATGATAGATGCGGCGGAGATAAAAGCTAGTTGGCTGAGAGTAGGCCTATTTTTACCATAAACGTAATCAATGTTTAAAAGGCTTGAATATGAGACTTACTTAGAGTCTTCAGCATCGAATTAGTTACCCACACTCATGCAATGGGTAATAACGCCTCGATTTGCACAGATGGAGTGGCAGGGGCTGTGTAAATAGTTGAAACAGGGAGATAGCATTTGGATATTACGTGGCAAGAGGGAGACTTTGATAAAACCTAGAGAAGGAGGACTGCGTAACAATATGGCAGACTCTGATCAAAATTCCCAGCACAAGGGTGAAGGAGGGTGAAAATGCCAGCGTGGAGTGTGGTGGGTTCTCATTAAAGCCGCTCAATAGGGCCCAACACAATAGATTTAAATAGGCAAGGGAAAAATTGTGATAGTGAAGGCGTGATACAATGATATATGAGAGGTCAATAGCCCAGGACAGAATGAAAAATACCGCAACTTTTTGGCACCCATTTGGCCAAAGGATCTGCTTTACTTGTCTATTTTACGAGTTGAGGTTTGGTGGTAAGAATAGCAAGACTCACAAACGATGCCGGCGGAACGACTCGGAATGTACTACGTCCATGTTCCGACTTTGGAAATTATCATGCATACAATGGACTCCGGACTAGGTGCGTTTCTCTATTTCTTTCTATCATTATGACCAAGTTTTGAAGACAAGGTCAAACAACTTCTGTACACCGAAAGGAGACTGCAGCCACACAAAAGGTCACATCATCTTCGTCTTTATATCTTTTATTAAGTAGTAAAATTTATCATCAAGGCGAAGAATTTATGAGTTATACCAAGTAAGCCAGCTATTTATGACATATTTAGCTTTATGCTGATGTAGTGGATTTAGAATCTTTTGCTATTTTTTACATTGTTATTTGAGGCACCATCTAAATAAGAATAGTATTCTTATAATTATTCTACTGTTTAGATAAAAATTATGTCCCTACCAAGAATACCGAGGAAATATTGCCTCAATGTGCAGTATAATAATAATGTATTTCATGTCAGATGCATAAATTTAATTGTAGTAAGGAAATCAGAATTGAGCATGGACCAATGTTTGGACAATTTGAGTTAAGTTTAAAGGTATTTAGACAGATATACTTGTGTCTATCCTTATAATTAGTGTGGTAATCGCTTTTTCCTATCAAAACAAAGTATCGATAAAAAGTTATATACCTTAAGGTTCACAACAATTTCGTGTTTTTTATACTTAAATGGATTCATAATTATTTTCACTGGAGGTCGAGTAGAATATTCGCCAAAAAAGTTGAGTACTTTCTCAATAATTCGAAGTTCCTAGATTTAGCAAGGTGTGGTAGCGCAAACTTTTATAAGGTATTTCCGAATTTGAACAATTTTTTTAATTTGTATGCTAAAGCCTCATAACAAGGAGATGATCGCTAATTTGCTATTAAATAGACTGATTAACATTGCTATGATAAATACATTGTAGATATCAGAGCACTAAAGAAACAAT